GTCTCTGCCTACGTCTCTGCCTACGTCTCTGCCTACGTCTCTGCCTACGTCTCTGCCTACGTCTCTGCACTCTTGTGTGGGTGTGTGGGATGAACGTAATCACTCGCGTTCGTCTCATATATAAGCACAGAACTGTAGTCGTATTTAATAATGATTAACAAGTAAGGCAGCTATTCTGAGACGGAGCTAATAACGTTTTTTTACGTTATAATACATCTCCATATAGTAGCCGCCTCGAACAGGCTTCAAAAAAGGTGTTTCAAACAAGGAAAATGATGGTCAGTCCTTACACACATCCCCCGAGCTAAGCGAACAGGAAATCACGGGGCTTTGTTAGCGGGCGAAGGGTAGCTGACGGAGATGACTGTGATGGAGGCAGTCTGGTGGCTCAGCGGAAAATTCAAAGTTCTATCGAAATTCCGCATTTTGCTAGTCGTAAAAAAAAAGAATGGATTTTACATTCCGTTAATTACAGCAACCTCCGCAAGGAAGCAAACTTTATTTTCCTGTTCTGTAAGGTACGACAATATACTTTTCCTTTCATGAAAATAGCTTGATGTATTGCAGGTTGATTTTTTTTATTTTCTAAATAATGTTTCACAGTTATGTTAAAGAATCTCGTGTTGCACGACTATTTTGTATGGGTCGGGGCGGGTGAGTGTGGATAGGGGTGGGGGATTAGCTGGTTGGCCGTTAGCAGCTGGGGTATACAAAGTATTCACCGCACGCACTTGGAAGAAAGTGTGAGACATTTTAAATGAGCGCTCACATTAGCGCGCGAAACGCAAACGCATTGCTGTGCAGTGATGCATTCATAAATATGTTAAATGAATACTATATGCGTATTCTCTTGTGTTTTAAAGTGAGCTGCAATTACAAAATATTCTGAAGTATTCAAAACCCAAGAGTATTTTGTAAACGTCTGTACTATGCTACGTTACGATGTGCTTTGAAAAACCGAAGTCAGAGTGTTCGTTTTTCTGACAAGATTTGTATACCGCTAACAATAAATAGCGTTGAATATATTAAACCCAAAAAATCACTGACTTCAATGAAAAAGTCACAGAAAATTTTTCTGAAAAGAAACAGCGGAATGGTACGGTGCGGCTCGCAATCAGACTTTATAAGAAGATTTGTGTTTAAATGGCTTTTTTTGGTAATGAGTGTAATGTGTTCAATCTCGCGAGCACTACCTGAGACTGCTCCTAAGTGCCTTCGCCTGCGCGGCCACAAGCATTCAAACATTCCTTCGCCACCACCCTCAGAATGTTCTCCCACGGTATCCAGAGCGTGTATGCGCATCGGAAGCATTCATTGACAAAGTAATTCATGCAGAATGTGTTCGTAGAATATTTCTCACGGCTCCAGCAGCTGTCTCCGAGCCACGTACGAAGTGCACAGTACAAAAAGGAGAAATAAAACAATTGAGGGGAAACTCGATAAGCCTCTTCACGAGCACCGACTGCCGGCCGCCGGAGAGGTGTCATTAGAGCAGCGCCCTTTCTTCCCGACGCGCCGTCTGCCCTTTCACGCCCCCAACGTCGATACCCGCCAGATGTTTACAAACATCTCTGAAACGTGCCTCTATCCACCAAAACATTACTTAACATCTCGCCGACCAATACCCCTGCTTGCGGACGCGGCCGCTCTCGCTTTCTACAACCGGTGTCACGCCACGGTTTCGTGGGAAACAAATTCAAATACTAAAAATGCCACGATACGCCCCTCTCCCCGGGCTCAAAGGCGCCACCAAATAGCGAGTAACTATCGCGAGCACCTGCATACTACACGCTAGCGGCTACTGTCACGTGACCATCCCTTCCCTGAACTCGAAAAACTTCGCTTCTTTACATACGGCAACTTACTACTAGTACTAGAACTAACAGACGGACAGACACAAATTGCAACTCATTTACAAACTTCAGCATCAGCCTACATGTCTGCCCGCTGAAGGTAGACAGCCCGCTAACGAGTCGGCTACATCTATTTCGCCTACCATTTCACCATCAGTCAACCAGTGCTGCCAACGGGCCCCTACCTCTGGATTCGGGCAACTCTCGGGCATCAGCCGTCCCCTAATCGAATCTACCAGACTCGACACAACCGGGCAGCTACAGACTCTGCCGAGCCCGTGCCAGTTGTGACATCAAGGCCGCTAGCCAAATCATCTGGAACAAACTTAATTTCTAACGGCGCCCAAGTGCACTCAGCTAATTCGGGTTGATGTTGACAGCACAACAAACTGAGTAGAGTGAATTAGAAACTCGAGAAAGAGAGAAAGAAAGGGAGAGCGCAAGAGAGAGAGCGGGCAAGAGAGAGAGAGAGCGCGCAAGAGAGAGAGAGAGAGCGCGCAAGAGAGAGAGAGAGAGCGCAAGAGAGAGAGAGCGCAAGAGAGAGAGAGCGCGCGCAAGAGAGAGAGAGAGAGCGCGCAAGAGAGAGAGAGAGCGAGCGCGCAAGAGAGAGCGAGCGCGCAAGAGAGAGAGAGCGCGCAAGAGAGAGAGAGAGCGCGCAAGAGAGAGAGCGCGCAAGAGAGAGAGCGCGCGCAAGAGAGAGAGAGAGCGCAAGAGAGAGAGAGCGCAAGAGAGCGCAAGAGA